TTTTTAAGACGTCGGCTGGCAGTTATTTCTCCACCATTCATTGCTTTCAACTGGGCCATTAAAAATATATCTTGTTCAGATCTAGAGAGAGCTTGAGATGCCTCGCGTAATTCGGCAAACCTTTCTCTTGGGATCCTTTTCGAACATTCACAATTACAGCCTGTCTCCAAGAAACGTATTGCTTTTTCATATTCATACGAACCATTATAATTATAATTTTCCATATATGGGTAATCCTAAATATTGGGTTTTACCATTCTGTATTATAAGAGCACCATTTTAATGTCATAAATCCCAGACACTACTGACAATGCCCAATTATTCAAGAAGTTCATTAAATTCGTTTATAAAATAACAAGAACACAATGTATTCACGTAGCAACAAGAAATACGCTTATTTTAGTCATAGATTCACCAAAGGAAAAATTGTATTAGCTCTCCGTGTTGTGTTATGGTACCATGGGGGATTACGACTGAGGTATGACTTCAAAATCATTTTCGAGATCTGATATAATTACACTCGAACCAATATTTGCTACACCAAACAAAGTACAGTAAGGATCCTCCCCATTTTTTTTACATTAAATTTAATTGTTGTCACGAATTTTATAGTAAGTCTCGTTATACTGATTTCTGAATAGGGGCCGCTACTTGCTTTATAACGAAAATTTATTCACATTTGAAATGGCATTCAATTTCCTTCGACGAGATAACACTACAATGAGCTCAATACGTTTAGTTAATTGAAAAGAAAGGTGGAAAGCAATCTAGAATAGATTCATGTTTGACCAATTAGTTTGGTTTATTCTTTTTCCTTCATGTTGTTTATTTGCGTTTAATAAAACATGATTTACAAGATACTGAATATGAAAACTAAGCTTCATTGAGAGAGCGCCTTGTAACGAATCATATAACAGGTTTCGACTTATAGCATTGATAAATCACAAATCTTCTTCACACTCATCTTTTTTCATGCGCTTGTCTCTCCACACAAGTGGCATCATGCGTTTTATCACTTCCTTCTCATCTTCTTTGGCAAATGACATCGGATCAGTCCATGCTTTGGATAGTTTTTTAAGAAGTTCTGCTTCCTCACTTGTATTAAGAAATGGAAATACATCTGGTGTGATACCAAACAAGCCTACAATGATTTGCTTGTCTAGTCGGCTCTTTGCTACTTCTGCATCCTCATTTGCAAGGGATTTCGATAGCATCTCTTGTCGTTTGGTTTTCTTAGCCTTATCACTAGTAGTATCATGCACAACCTTCAGATTCTTAATCATACCGTTTTTATAGCCTAAAGTAAAATATAAAACGAGATATGGCCAATCCGGATTCATATCCAACCCTGCAGTTTGGGGAGTAATTACAAGACTTGCAAACATAACATTAGGGTCGCTTCCACTATAGTTGCGCGTTTGAATTAAAATGCAGGTGAACTTGCCATTCGGCAGCAGAACTGGAATACCATGATCTATAGCACTTTGTCCACGTTGACATTGAAATGCTGCACCGCGACAAAAGAAGTGACGTAAATCTTCCTTTGTTATAGACTGTGCCACAACTATAAAATGTGTAAAAAATACAATGCCGCTCAACAGAAGTTCCATACTATCAGAATTAATTTGACCTTCGAGATAACTGACATCTGACATCAATGCAGTCAAGTACTGTCTAACCGTTAAAGGATATGTGTAGATGAATTCAGGCAAATGTTTTTGCACTTGATGAATTGCATGATCCCAAGCCAATGTTAGTAGGATGCGAACAGTAAGCTCTCCCTTCGGTCCTGGTTCTACTATCCCTTCTCGAATAAAACCAAGAAGTGGTTCAATTGTTTCCTCGAATTTGATCTTGTGATGATTAATGATTCGCGCCGCTGCCTCAGCTACAAGCGGTTCTGAGGAGTAACCAATAAAAACAATTTTTCGGTCGGGTGATACACCCAGGCAGATCGATTTGCAATCAGATCACTAGCCAGTTCGCCTTGTGGCTTAACCAAAAGACTTACTCTTACACACCATAATGCAACCATATTTTGTCTAATGATTATTTCTCTTGGATTATGTTGAATGTTGTCTTCGAAGTTGACGCCACCCATGAGTTTGCATTTTGCACTTGTTACTGCTCTAAATACGGCTGTACGTTGTGCTTCATCATCCAAAAGGTCTTAAGTGCGTCCCCAAAGAACGCGTCCTTGGCGGAAGAATGTGTGTAAGAACGAACTCACATCGACCTTTCTCTGGTGGACATCAATTATCAAATGAACATTGGGGGGAGTTGAAAGCACGTCCCATAGATCAATAGTCCAATAGGGCGGGTACAAATTGGTAGATTTGGTGACATAGCGAAAAGATGGATCAGATACTGAAGGTGGCAGAAAATTGGCTATTTTTGAGACAGTGTCCAGCAAAAGAACAAATGTATTGACTTTCATATTTAGATCGTATCCAGGTATTGTGGCAGATGCAACACGGAAATAGTGATACAGAGAATTGCTACCAAGCCTTTCATTTGGAACTGTTAACGATCGTGCTTCATCAATTGCGAATATGATGGAGACATCACCTTCTCGTAAGTAATGAAACATTTCAAGCTGTTCCTCCAATTTTTTGATAACACCATTAATTTTTGTCTTGAGGCTCTTAGCAAATGCTGAATCAGAACTACTTCCTATCGGTGCTAAAAATTCCTTCTGTATAGCTAACATCCTATCGGAGATACGCCCCCAAAAGGTTTTACCACCAAGCCGTCTATCATCTGTCTCATCTGTGGTAATCTGCTGATGATACCATTTGTGGAAAATGCTTTCCATTTCTTCACCTTTCACTTTGTTGAGAAATCCTACCAATTCTTCGTAACAAGCACATATATAAGCAACAAAACGTGAGAGAGCTTCATAGCGAGGGTAATCTGTCTCTGGCTCCTTCAGTATCAAGTCAGCAATTTTGAAAGAACGTAAGGGAAAACCATCACTCTTTCCACGCAAGCAAAGGTGAATAACAAACTTGTTGTTGGCGAGTTCTTTGATACTTCGCGATTTTCCGACACCACTTGATTGAACGATGGCGCTGACTGGACACATAAAGTTGACAGGTTGCCATTTCCTACCCATCGCTTCTATAAATTCTGCTAATCGGCGGAACGAGTTATAAGGATCCTTCGGTTGTGCATAAAAGCCCTTCTCCAATGCTTCGCATTCATCAGCTCTTATTTGCGGTTCGTTTTTTGATAAATCAGCTTCTTGAATAAGATCATAAATGAAACAATCGTAATAAATACAAAAAAGAGGGTATCAGGAGGTTAGTGCGGTTAACAAATGAAAGATAGAGTTGTGTTGGGCAATTGTGAGCTGGTTAATATAATCACTATCAATTCGAAAGATAGATTGTATGATAGAGAGAAACTTACTAAAAGAAGACTCGGCTACAAGAATTAAGTAGAATAATGGCAGTGACCAAAAGGAAACGATGAAGAGCACAAATCAATATATATGTATAATGTTGATGAGATAGAGTATTTAGTCAGCTCAGACAGTTTGCATGTGACAACAGCATCTTTTGTCTCTGCTCTATGTCCCAACCCCAACGCATGTAATGCATTTCAACTATCCTCCCAATAAACGTGTATTCATTGCTTGCTTACCTTGTGATTCTCTGTACAGTCAACTGCCTATAATTCGACCCCCTCGGGTCCGGGGTCACCGTTCGAATTATCGTGATAGTCGAATTATCG